TAATGATTTTTGGCATAAAAGAAAAATGTATAATTTTGACCCATACAATGTATTGTTGGCTATTGCTACAAATATACCCCAGTGACTTCAGACTGCTTTTGTGCTGCAGAGTCACATATACATACATACACACAGGGTGAGATGAAATATACTATTGTTTTAAGTCTCTTAATATATATAAAAAATATATACAAGATATTTCAGGTAAAAAAAAAATAAAAAAAATTCTTAATAAATATAACTATATACTTCCCCAGTTGATTGACTACATTAAGAATTGCAAACACTTTTTTTGTATGAAATGAAATGTTGTTTGAATATGCAAATGATGCATTATCCTATTAAATATGCACTAATTTGCACACAAATCCAAAACAGAAACCTGAACTTTGGATAAAGTCACCCATACATATAAATTTTTTTGTGGCAAAAACATATTTTAAATATGCTAAATAAATATATGTTGTAAACAGTGATTTTTTTTAAATTAAAAATATATTATTTTGTTTCAACTTACTAAACTATATTTCAAAATGTAATTAATTATTTATTTTTATTTAAATGTGTTCACATCTGTTATAGAAAACGAATAAAGATTTTCTTCAAATCCGACATGTGTGAATGCATTTTCTTGGATCGAAATATATGGAGGGCAAAATTTATTTTGAATGCTTTTTAAAAAATATATAAAAAAAAAAAAATACAAAAAAAGTGGGCAAAATATATTGGTAGAAAATGTTTACGAAAATATATATTTTTTAGCAAATATATATTTTGGACAATTTTTATATATTTTTAAATACATTTTAAAATATTGTAATATATTTTATATTTAATAATATCTAAAGATAAATTGTTTGATTTTGTTGACATATTTAAGGGTTTTTCCAGAAATGTTTTTGGATTTCTCTTTATATCACTCCATAAATCAGAAAATACAGTCAACAGCCAGAAAACAACTACATTTTCACCATGTTGTTAAATTTGCTGTATGTAAGAGAAAGAAGATATGGATTAAAACTGAAATGCAGATAAACACTTAAGGTTTTCTTTGCACTAAAAACATTATGAAAACCCCAAAATCTCCAAATTCATTCTCGTGTCTGTAACTATATCGTTTGTGTGAATCATCATGTCCACAATAAAACATGGATTTACCATCAATTCAGCTCTGTCTACAAATAACAAAAACCTTTTACAATTGTAGACAGGCCTGTAGAATTTAAACACCCAAATTTACATATTTACATACACAAATGTACATGCAATCCAAGGGTTTGAGAGCACTAAAATGATTCTGTCTAATTTATACACGGCATTTGTGCATTACAAAATGTATAATTTATATGTATTATAATTATATATTATATTATCAGCATAATTTGAGTGAATAGTCGAGGTGAAAAATGTCAGATATGATAATCAGTATTTGGTGTTTGTCTCTTGTGCTTTAATGACAGCAGCACTAAAACCTGATGATGATGATGATGATGATGATGATGAAGATTTGTTTAAAAGAATATCTCGAGCTTCACTTTAAGTTGTCTGTAAGAGTCACATGACACTCATTTACTTACATTTGATTGGTCACTAGAAATACTGCATTTGATTAAAAAATTTTAATTCCTAAATCTTAAATAAAAAGGCTTTTGAATCACAGTTCACATGCAGCTTGCTTTAATAAAAAAACACACACACACATTTGTTATAGTTTATTAATGCCTCGTCACCAGACAAACGCAACTTTTCTTATCAAACTGATGCTCAGACATTGTATATGCTTATTTCAATTTATGGTATTAATCGGGAAATGAATAAAAATGCATTCAAAACTGTGCTCTGTGAGGGATTCAAGAGTTGATTAAATGCTAAAAATGAATTAAATTTTTTTTTTTTTATTTTATAAATAATCATATTAGATAAATACTATGTTTTTTGCAAAATTATTACCTGCATGTCATGTGACCATTAACCAGGAAATGAATAAAAATGCATTCAAAACTGTGCTCTGTGAGGGATTCAAGAGTTGATTAAATGCTAAAAATGAATTAAATTTTTTTATTTTTATTTTATAAATAATCATATTAGATAAATACTATGTTTTTTGCAAAATTATTACCTGCATGTCATGTGACCATTAACCTAAATCAGATAAATTAAATTATTCTTAAATGTCAAATTATTGTAATATTAACTTGAAATGTTTGTCAATCCCTGAATTAACCCATTCATCAACGCCAGAATTTAATTTACATACCATTCTAAAAATAAAAAATAAAAAGCTTTTAATATCAGATCAATTCACTACTTACAGTTCATCTGAGGCTAAAATAAACTTCTGATACACACAGCAGAGGGCAGCAGAGCTTCACGATCGGACTGCACCGGATCAATAATGGGGACCTTGTGTCCTCTCTTTCCCCCAGAATGACTGGTTTTGGGTTTGTTTTCCTATATCTCTACAGTCCTAATTCATTACATCTACTTTTATTTACATTGCTTTGACCGTTCACTGTAGGTCTCGCCTTCTCACGCCACGATTGGTCGATTATCACAGCGCTTGCATGCTATTGGTCAAACTAGTTTTCAGTCATTGCATTCAGCAAGTATGAAAACAACAGGATTTTATGCAATTAAGAAATCGTTTTAAACAACAGAGGGGCACATGCACGCTGGGATCAGCATCAGAGACCCACCTGCTGTATTAAAGAGTTAGTTAATATTTGACACATTGTAATCACTTACTCTGAGGCTTTGTGGATCAGGAGAACTGGTGTGACGTCACGAGGCTCCTGATGTCATTCATCTGAAGATCTGGGTCTCTCAAACAGGTTTATTCTCTCTCTCTGTAGATCCACACCAAAAACAAGCTTTATTCAGAAACATGAACTGATTTATGGCAAGTATAAGTCCTAAACAAGGCATTAATGATAAAGCTGATGCTTACTGAACCACTGACTTGTGTTTGTCACACACGCATGATCAATTTGATCAATAGAAAGTTCAAAAGGACAGCGTTTATTTTAAATATAAATCTTTTGTAACATTATAAATGTCTTTACTGTCACTTTTGAAGTTCATGTGCATGTGACGTTTACAGTCATGTGACACTGATTGTGATTCTTCAGCATTCAGTTCAAGTACACTGCAAATAAATAAATAAATTAATAAAATAAAAATGAATAAATAAACTAAAAATAATTTAATGCAAGTGCATAGGTTTGATTTTGGCATTGCTGGGGACATAACTGCAGACAACAGACATTTAATTGTTTGATCAAAATGATTGCTAGGGACAATTTAGTAGTCACTGGATATTGTTAGGATCATGTCAGAGCATCTCTACTAAACTCTACAGCCTTTAAAACCATAACAAGCGATGAACAACTTTATATAGTTCTCTCCTTAAACATGAAGAGGTCAAACAACAGATTAATGAGTTACTCCAAATTTCACAAAAAGCTTATGGTCGTGATTATAATATAAGTCAGACATTGAGTTGCTGTTTTGGTCTCTTGTGAGGAAAATTCATTCACTTGTTTTGTAGCCACACAGAGACATTTCAGTCAGATTTAATGTTCCTAATCTCATTTTGTTAGTGACTTTTCTTTCTGTTTTAAAGATGCTTTCTTTGGATTGTTTGACTACTCATAAGAGAATATAATATAACTGAATTAATTTGTTTCCTGCTAGCTAAATTTCACATAAACAAAAATTCACTGGCTCTAAAGCTCTCTTTTCTTTATTCAGAGTTGATCTAGACGAGTACATGGCAACTATTCAAAGTGCTGTTAATCCTAAAGCAGTGAAAACACCTCTATATTCATCATATGTGTCCTCTTAAGGTGAAACATGGTTACTACACTTTTACTATAATACAACCATGGTTCATTTTCTTAAGGGATTTGTATTTGTGTATACTTGCTTTCTTTTTTTTCTTTGTTTTGTTTTTATGACTGCGCTGCCTTAATGGTTTGATGTTTTGTACTGTTTAATAAAAAATAAATAAAATAAAAAAATCAGAATCAAAAGGTTTGTGAATCCGCTCTGAAGGTTTGATCTAAATAAAATGATTCGTGATCCGCGCTCCGTCGTCTGAATCTGAATAATGATGTGTGAACAATCATTTCAGATCTGGGGCCGATTGCGTAAACTGTTTAGACTAGTCTTAAAAAGTTAGTCATCTAATTTTTTTTCTTCAAGACTGGTCATAACTTTTTTAATTCAGTTATGAAAAGGTAGATTGGTCTTATTTGTATTGGAAAAGTAAGACTGATTCCTACCCCAACTGCTAGTTGGTCAAACTAGTTAAGACACAGTCTTAACATGGTGGCTAAGTTTATGAAACATGATTCGCA